AGCCCAGTTAAAAATCTAGGTTGTCTGATGTCTAGATCAGGGGTCTCCTCCTAGGCTGCCTCTTCCATTTTCTGTGCCCATCCAGTTGGATGCTCCTCACTGACCTGGACTTAGAAACCCTGGGGCAGCGACAGACATTGGCAGAAGCAGGAGCCCAAGCTGCCATCTGTAAGGAGAGCCTCCGTGCCCATCCTGGGGAACTGTTGTGTTGCCGAGGGGCTCTGAATCGAGCTGGAGGCGGTGGTAGAGCAGGCAAGTCATCGCAGCCCACGCTCATTCTCCGCTCAAGGGCCTCAGCATCTGCCTGTCTTTGGTGATACAGGAAATGGGTGCTCTGAGCCAACTCTGATCCAAGGAGGGAGGGCTGCCATTGTGGCCAAGGTCCCGCCACCCCTGGTGATGAAAGCGGGAGTGATGGCCTCTACCCAAAGGAGCCAACCTATAGGGACTCAGGGATGCAGGGAATGGGCTCAGAAAAGCTGCAGCCCCTGATAAAGGTCAACGGACTCAGGTCACCACCCACCTGGAGAGACTAAGCAGCCTATTCTCCACTGCCTGCCCTCATTGGTGTGTCTTCATTTTCTCAAATTAATTCAAAGCCTCCCAAAGGGACTTCCCCGGCAGTCCAGTGGTTAAGAATCTGCATTTACACTGCTTCCCTTGTGGCTCAGCTGGTAAAGAATCCGCCTGCAATGTGGGAGACCTGGATTCAATCCCCGGCTTGGGCAGATTCCCTGAAGAAGGGAAAAGGCTACCCACTCCAGTATTCTGGCCTGCAGAATTCTATGGACTGTATAGTCCCTGAGGTCGCAAAGAGTCGGACATGACTGAGCGACCTTCACCTTGGGTAATCTATACTGCACAGGGCATGGGTTTGATCCCTGGTTGGAGAATTAAAATCCTTGAGGAACACATCCTCCACTACCCATCCCTCAAATGCAACCACGACATTTGTTTTACAGCTGATTCTTTTTTTTTTATTTATTTTTATTAGTTGGAGGCTAATTACTTTATACAGCTGAATCTTGTTTCGAGCAAAGTGAGCATGTAAAGTTGAGGGATGAAGCTTCACTTAACTCTTTTCACCACAAAAAGCTCCGTTGATGTGGACTTCCCTGGCAGTCCAGTGGTTAAGACTGTGCTTCCAATGCAGGGGGCTTGGGTTTAGGAACTAAGATTTCACATGCTGCATGGTATGGGCAAATTTTTTTTTTTTTTAATTTTTAAAGGAGGAAAGAGAGCTCCCCAGATGCACTCATTCACTGCTGGCTTACCGTGTATAAGGTCCTCTGTTAGGAACTGAAAATTCAAATCCTACTGCAATATAATCCCTGTCCCCAGCAAAGAAAGTTGCATCTTCACTTTCATGCAGACAGGAGTAATGTGATAAGTCTTCCAGGGGAGGCTCACCAAGGTGAGTTTGGGGATCTACAGGTGAGTTTGAAGGGAGTGGCGCCTGAGCTGGGCTCTAGAGAACAGGGAACTTGCCATTCAGAAGTGGCAGTGCCCTCCACATGGAGACAGCAGCAGCACAGGACTAGGGAAGGATCCATGGACCCTGCATACGTGTGTGTGTGCTAAGTCACTTCAGTCATGTCCGACTCTTTGCGACTCTGTGGACTGTAGCCTACCAGGTTCCCCTGCCTTAAGAGCTGTATGGTCCTACTATGTATGTGCATAATCAGCCACTTCAGTTGTGTCTTTTTGCGACCCCATGGACTGTAGCCTGCCAGGCTCCTCTGTCCATGTGGAATTCTCCAGGCAAGGATACTGGAGTGGGTTTCTGTGCCCTCCTCCAGGGCATCTTCCCCACCTAAAGATCGAACCAGCAACTATGTTCCTGCATTGGCAGGTGAGTTCTTAACCACTAGCGCCACCTGGGAAAGCCCCTCCTATGTATCATTGTTCAGTCCCTAAGTCGTGTCTCTTTGCAACCTCATGGACTACAACACACCAGGCTTCCCTGTCCTTCACTATCTCCCAGAGTTTGCTCATATTCGTGTCCATTGAGTCAGTGATGTCATCCAATCATCTCATCCTCTATCACCCCCTTCTCTTGACCTCAATCTTTTCCAGCATCAGGGTCTTTCATATAACAGATAACTAATGAGAACCTATTGTATAGCATACAGGGGAAAAAAAGAAGGTATAACCTGCTTGTAGAACATACTAAATTAACCTTAAAAATGTATTCCAATATACAGTAGATGCATACAACTACTGTTTATTTCATGTGTGTGAGATACATAGAATAGTCAGAAAGTACACTGGTAAATGCCGTGCCTGGGGACGGCAGAGGGGGATGGGGAGTTAGTGTTTAATGGGGACAGTTTCAGTTTAGGAAGGCGAAAACTTTGGGAGAGGGCTGATGGTGAGAGCTGCACAACAATGTGAATGTACTTATGCCACTGAATTGTACAGTTAAATATGGTTAAAACAGTATGTTTTATGTGACTTTTACCACAATAAAAATACATTAAAAAAAAAAAAAGAGCTGTGTGATCTTGAACATGTTACCTAACCAGAGTCTTGCTTTTCTGCAAGGTCCCTCCCTGATACTTTCTACTGAGTAGATCACTAAGAAATGAAATGAGATCATGGCTAGGAGCATCTGGCAGCATCAGGCACATGGTGGGTCATCACTGAATGTCGGGTTCTGTCTCCATGTCTGAGGTGCTGGGACGATGAACAACAAATCAAAGACTTTGGGGGACCCTTGAGGAAGGAAGAGGCCATTAAAGGGGGTTCTGAAGTGGGGGGGGGGGCGGGTGGTGACGGAAGAGGTGCCTACAGGAAAGAACCCAGAGCCTCTGAGCTGAGGTTCTGCTCCATGGCAGGCCACTTTAGGGGTGCTGGTAAAATACTCCCCATTGGTCTTTAGTTTGTTCCCCAACAACACTGTGTTCCAGGAGCGGCACAGCGATGCAATTAGCAGAATCGAGCTTGTGGGCGGAGCGTAGGAGTTGAGCAGGGATGAGAGGCAGCACCTGGGCTCCTGCCCAGACTGTGGGGGAACCAGAAATCAGGGGGCGGGGAAAGATGGCTGCAGAAAGAGAAATGCTTTTAACTCCAACACTATCCTCTACGGAAAAGGCAAAATGTCCAAGGTGTTTTTTTTTGTTTTTTCGGATCTATATACCTACTCTTTTAACCTCAATAGCCTGGCTTATCACAAAGTGGAAGGAGAGACACTGACAGCCACGCCCCTATCCTGCAGAGAAGAGGCACAGCTATGGAGCTTCAGGGCAAGTCTCCATCGAATCTGGCCTCTTATGTGCTCCTCTTTCATTCTTTCACCCCACAAACATCCACAGAAGAACTATCAAACACAAGATCCCAGAGAGGCAAATGTCAGCTCAGTTGTTCATACCTCCATTCCTCTTGCCGATTCACCAGTCAGTTTCCTTATCTGTCAAATGGAGAAAATGGGCTCCCAGGATGATGCAGTGAGATAGTGAACATACTGGGCATAGAATAAGTGCTCCAGAAATGCAAACTATTGTTATACTGGTAGAAGCAAGACTGCATGTTATGCTGGCTATCTTTCATTCGCCCCTCCCACCTCCCAGATACACTCTACACCCTTTTCCACCCTGTGCAATGCCCTAGAATGGACTAGTCAAGACTCTCTTGCCCCTTGACTTCTCACTGGGTTTGGTCCATGGGGAGCGAGATTAAGGGAGGGAGAAATTGAAGACAAGGCTTTTATTTCCCCAGCTCCCTTCCTGAGCCCCTTGACACAAAGTCTCAGCTCTAGGAAAATGACTTTCCAAACAGCTTCCTTACCTCTGGGCGCAAAGGTGGTTATGATCCCACTGTGACTAGCCCCAGAATATTTCACACTCCATAGCTGTTTCCCTATACCTTATGTCAAATTGCCCAGCTGATATGTGCCATCTGTTTTCGGGGACCCCTGACATCCAAAGCGCAGGAGAACACAGGAACAGGCCTGGGGATTAAGAGACCTGGATTTAAGTCTCATGTCTCCTCCTTGTTGGCTCTGTGACCCTGAGCCAGGATCTCCTTTCCAAGGCCTTAGCTTCCACATCTGTAAAAAGAACAGCTCTTTTGTTCTACAACCCCGGCCCCCCACATACATACAAACACACACAGGGGGTTCTGTGAACTTAAGCCCAGGACAGGGATGCATACAAAGGAGAGCTGCCTCAGTCAGAGGGCAGGTGAGGTTGCCAGACCTACACCATCGCATCTTTCCCCAAGAATCGCCTCACTCCTTCTAAGGACGTTCCATGCCCTTGTTCTCTCAGGCCACCAGATTACCAAATGCCCAGAGGATCTCCCCCACCCCCAAAGCAATTGCCAAGAAAACTCAGGGAATTAAAATAAATTCCCTTATCTTTCAATAGCCAGCCGCCAACCCTGCTTTAGCCACCAAGGCCCCTTCCCAAGTTCTAATGGCCCAGAGGTCCAAGCAGGAAAGCCTGGTCAGTTAATGCCCCACTCCCCCAGGCTGCAGCAGGGAAGGGGGGGGCATCTCACAATTGGCATCTAAGACAGAGGAACCTAAACCATCACCCTGCTGGGAGGCCCCTGTGGCCGGACATGTTTCAAGTAGAAGCTAAGGACCACTTAGGTGCTTATTACAGACTCTCTGAAGTCCTTTTAGCTCCTAAAATTAGTGACCCAGAGGAATCCAGGAGCCACAAGAAATATGTTCTAATATCACTCTCCATGCCCACCCCGCCCGCCGCCCCGAATCTGAAGTTTCATTTGTTCTAAGTGCTTTCCCGCCCACGGTCATCCAGAAGGAGGGTAAAGTGAGCCAGATAAGGCTGGTTTCTGTCCTAAAGACAAGAGGAGAGGGCAGCGTGGACTCCAGCTTTTCTGAGTTTCTGGAGGGGTGAGGGAGGTGCGATAAACTCCTAAAATTATCAGTTCCTGTTTTACCTGAGGGCTGACCGCAGGTGAAAAACCACAACACAGTAACTGCCAGCACTAATTTGTCTCTGACGTTCTTCACGTTCCCCAAATGCCTCCAGAAAGCTGTGGCTTCACCCCCACAACTCTGAGCAAGTTCAAGACCTTTCCCCGCCCCAAATGAAAATCTTCAGAGCTCCTCAGGGCTTCCAAGGGTCGGACAGCGCAAGGAGCCGGCTGAGGCGGCGAGCTTGCACCATAGCCCGGCCCCGGGGCGGCCTCAACCTTGGGGGCGGCGAGGGCCGAGAAGGTGAAGCTCTTCGGCCTCGCGGGGAGGGGACCTCGCTGCCCTCCTCGCCTCAGGCGCTGAGTCACCACCGCCCGGGCTCCGTCGAGCCCGCGTTCCCAGGAAGAGCCGCTGCACGCCTGCGCATGCGCGGTCCTGGGCGCGTGTCTCGGGAGCGCGCGGCCCCGGAGGAGGCGGGGCAGGGCCGCGGGCACGAGCGGAGGCGCTTGCTCGGGGCGGGATCCCACAGGCGAGGCTCCGACGGGTCCCGGTGCTGCGGCCGCGCGCCGCACCCCTCAGAGTCGGGGTGACGAGCCTCTCAGGGATAGCCATTTACGCGTTAGGAGCCGGGCTTGAGGGACCAGGCCAAGTTCCACCAGGCGCCCGTTCCCCTACCCTCATGACCCCGGTCCAGAATTGCTCCGCCCGGGCCCTGGTTTCACCTGAAAGGTGGCGGGGAGCGGGGGAGGCTGCGGGGAGATAATGGGGGAATGAACCGGCCGAGGCTGAGGCCCTCCAGTCGTGACGCTGACCTCGGACCGCACCTGACCGGTGTGAGGATTCGGGCCGCAGACCCTGAGGTCCCCAGACGCGGAGGTCGCTGGTCCGGGAGACCTGTCCCCGCACCAGAAGTGGCCCCCGACCCCACCAGGAGCCCACCTCACTGGATGATCTGAGACCCCAGGGCCAGGAGCACCTCATGTCCTCGTCCTGCCCCGTCATGCAGGCCTTCCTGTCCTCTTGTCCGCTGGCGCTGGTCAACTGGGCTGGAGTGACCAAAACGTCACAGGGGGTCAGAGAAGGGACACAGATTTGGGTGTAGGCACTAGTAGCCGTCCAGGGCCCCACGGGGGTTCCTGAGTAGGGCAGGACTGATGGGGTGGGCCTCTTCCTGTGGCCTCCTTACCAGGCTCCAGCACCTGGTTCTCAGCTCCTAGGAGTGGGGGAGAGGCAGGGAGGACAGAGACCCAGTATCACCCACCCATCAGGCCATGAATCACTGGGGGAAGGGGACATTGCCCAAGGGATACTGGGTAGCCAAAGAAGACTCCTGGATGCTAAACGCTCACCTCTCTAGGCAGCGCCCATTTGCTGCCTGCAGGAACTTCCTTCTTCTTCATGGCCTTCAATATTCAGAAATGGAGTGACCTCAAACCCTGGTTCCTTGGGCTTCCATTTAGTTGCTTTGTTGTTGTTGATAAGTGAAGTCCAACTCTGCTACCCCATGGACGGCAGCACACCAGGTTCCTCTGTCCTTCACTATCTCCCGGAGTTTGCTCAAACTCATGTCCATAGAGTCAATGATGCTATCTGGCTGTCATCTCTGTCGCCCCTGTTCTCGTCCTGCCCTTCATCTTTCCCAGCATCGTGGTCTTTTCCAATGAGTCAGCTCTTCGCATCAGCTGACCAAAGTTTTGGAGCTTCAGCTTCCTTATCAGTCCTTTCAATGAATACTCAGGGTTGATTTCCTTTAGGATTGACTGCTTTGATCTCCTTGCTGTCCAAGGGACTCTCAAGAATCTTCTCCAGCACCACAATTTGAAACCATCAGTTCTTCGGCGCTCAGCCAACTCTCACATCTGCACACGAGTACTGAAAAACCATAACTCTGACTGTACGGACCTTTGTCAGCAAAGTGCTGGTTCATCTCACCTTGATTCCTCACTGGACACACAGATGTCTTCCTTTCTGAGTCTGGGCCTTTGATCTCCCCCCAGGATCCATCCCCCTGGCCTCTGACCTTCCAATCCCACCCATCCCTCATCGTGTATCTAGAATTCCCTTCCCAAGCTTGATAACCCCCTGGCTGTCTCAGTATTCTCAGGAGAGTCCTGATATGCTATAAACAAATTCTCAACAAAGGGAATCTATTAAATGCCAAAATAAATTTCACAGTCAATATGCATTGGTCAGACTTTTCAAATAATTACATTTTCAAATGAGAAAAAAAAAAATCCTCTGCCAGACCATGTGTCCCCATGAATGATTTAGAAAATGTGGTCACTTCATCCCAGAGGACTTCTGTGGTCACTCCGGTTCCATGACTCTTTCCCTAATTGGACTGTTGGCTCCCCCAGGGCAGAGAATATGCCTAAATAAATATGTGAGAATTCCAAGGCTTTTGAAGTTGTGGTGGGAGAAAAATCCAGAAGTTTGGAGAAAATGGAAATAGAACCAACAAATTTTTTTTTTTGCAGTCTTCACAAATACAAAATCACTCTTCAGTGTATCAGAAAAATGTACTATCACAATTCGGCCTAGGCTCCAGATTAACACAAGTCAGTATGATAGAATATAGTTGAAAGAACAGCAAGATGGATGGAAAACTGGCCTTTTAGTTTGATTTGTCAGCTTTTAACGGGATGAACTTGGACCTAACTTCTCTGGATATGCAGTTTCCCCAGGCTGGATTTGAATTTAAGGTTAGTAAATATACCTGCCCAATCTATTAATACTTTACAAGATGATCATGGTAGAGATCAAACTGAAATGGAATTAAGGGTGTGATTTTTTTTCTTTTAATGTTTTGTTGTTGTTCAGGAAATAATCCTCAATAATCTTTCTAATGATAGATTTTATTACTTACAAGGTACTGACCAAACATTTTAGACAGTTTATGAAGAGGAGGGAAAGGGATCAGAAAGAACAGTGTCACCAAATGTGACCCTGGGCAAGTAACCTAGCATGACCTGTAGGGTGAATCAGACTTCAGATAGAATTCCAGCTCTCCCAAATACACATGCCATCGTCCCAATTACTCTGACCATCAGTCTCCTCTTCAGTAAAGTATATTAATAATAGTAATAACATGTACTGAATACTTTCTGTGGGCTCTGTACTATTTCAAGTATGTTGCATTAAGTCATTTAATCCTCTCAACAACCCCATGAGAGAAGAACTATTAACATCTCCATTTCAAGGGTAAGGAAACTGAAGCACAAAGTTAAGACATTTGCCCACGGTTGCCCAGTTAGTATATGGTGGAGCCCAGGATGGATCCTAAGCGCTGACTCCAGAGCCTTTTCTCTTGTCCGTGCCGGATGGCTTCTTCCCCATGGGGTTATTTTGAAGATTACATGAAATGAAGCAGGGATTTCCCTGGCAGTCCAGTGCTTAGGACTCAGCGCTTTCACTGTCGTGGCTTGGTTTGGGGAACCAAGATCCCACAAGCCACACAATGCAGCCCCCCCCCCAAAAAAAAAGAAAAGGGGAAAAAAGGAAAAGAAATAAAGCACTCAATGTGGCATGGCACACAGCTGTTAAAATTAAGGCACTATCTTAAGGTAACCTTAAGAGTGGTAATGTCTGCAGGTCTATAGCCCGGTTCCTGGCACAAGGGCTCTAGAAGTTGTTTCCCTTCCCCACTGACATTACGGTAAACCAGAGAAAGGTTCCACAGTGGAGGCAGACACAGAGTATGTTCATTTATGTGTGTCATTTTTGTATCCTTCAGATAAGAAGTTGGTGCAAGGGATTCCTTCAGAACCTGTTCAATCCTCCTTTGCTGCATTGCTCTACTTTCCTTTTTCTGTTTCTCTTAGGCTTCTTTTTTATTGCCTTTATGGTCTTCTAAAGAAAAATTCAAGTTTCTCTGGGCTAGGAAAGCTTGAGCTTATGTCACGGAAAGAGGAATTGGCTTTTAAAAAAAAAGAGAGAGAAAGAGAAGTTGGCTTGAAATGTCTCAAGGCTCAGACTTTGGGATACACATGTAAAGCTTGGGGACAGTTGCGATGTCCTCCTTGGGCCAGATCTTCCTGGTTCTCCACCCTGGGTTGGGCACCCAGTTCACCCCACACACACATCTGCCTGCACACATGCTCCTGTGATCTGAAATCCTCACACTGTTCATACAATTACTTCACCACCCCAGACCCACATGTGCATCTGCTGAGTCGCTACACCCACCCATAGACTTTACACACAAGTGTTTGTGTTTCCCTTATCCATACAGCTACCTGTAACCCCCAAATATTTAGGGGAGGCATACACGCAGGTGTAGACACCCTCTCCATTCACAGTGTCCCTCATGTCATCAGGCTGTGTTTAGAATGATCCTTGATTTTGCTTTCTGTATTTCACCCTTCTGATTTTCCTATCATCCTGACTGCAGACTTAATTTAAAGGTGGTCTCAGCTCCACCTTGGATATCAGTACAGTCCCATGGTTACCCCAAATTTATTCAGTACTTTTTCCTAAACGTGATCATGAAGTTGCTCTGGCTGATCCTTATAAAAGGGACTTCAGTGCCCATGTGCTTGCCCCATAAGCAGATTCAGAGCTGGGTGACTATGATGTGTCAATGAGGATCATCAGTTGTAACATAGGTACTGTTGAGAGGGGCGTAGATAATGGGCAAGCCTTATGGGGGGCGGGGGTTGGCATGTGGGTAACCTCTGCCTTCCTCTCAGTTTTTCTATGAACCGAAAAATGCTCTTAAAAAATATTTGTCTTCCTTAAAATCAGTAGGTGCATGCGTGCTTGCTAAGTTGTTTCAGTCGTGTCCCACTCTGCAACCCCATGGACTGTAGCCCACCAGACTCCTCCGTCCATGGGGATTCTCCAGGCAAGAATACTGGAGTGGATTGCCATGCCCTTCTCCAAGGGATCTTCCTGACCCAGAGATCCAACCCAGTTCTCTTATGTCTCCTGCATTGGCAGGCAGGTTCTTTACCACTAGACCACCTGGGAAGCCCTTCTACTCGATAAAAGGAAGAAAGAGTTTATACTGGGGACAGACCAGTGGTTAAGACTCTGCCTTCCAATGCAGAGGGTGTGCGTTTGATCCCTGGTCAGGGAACTAATAACTCACATGCCACAGGGTACAGCCAAAATTCTTTAAAAATTTTAAAAAAGATATTACACAGGTTGGAGGCACGAGACAGTACGAGGTGTTAAAGAGAGATGGGAACTTTATTGAGAGTTTCTCCCTGATGAACTCAGAACGGAAAGAGCACTGGAAAGATTCTGCTTTGGAGAGAAACAGCAACTGTTCAGGCACAAACGTTCACAGATACTCCTCCTAGGGGATTCCTGACTCCCCACCCGGTTCCCCACGATCCCCCACCCCCACCCAAAGAGTCAGAATTCTGCTCGAAATCCACCTCCACAGAGCAGGGCACCAAATAGCGCTCAAAGCCCTGGCTGGCAGACAAGCCTGCGGGAAGTTAGAGAGAAGGGAAGTCAAGGGGTGAACAGGGGAAGAAAAGGAATGAGAAAAAGAAGCTGAATGGAGAAAAGAAAAGGGGGGAAAGATCACTGATGATGTCACATGCGCCCCCAGAAATATAAATACCGTATGAATGTGTTCATCTCATTCCAGCTGCTGCTCCCAAAGCAGTGCTGACCTCGGCAGCTACGATGATGCCCAGTTCTGCACTTTTTCTTCCCCTTCTGCGCTGGGAAAACAGAAATGCCCAAAGTAGCCGAGGGGGCGGAGGGGCATTAAGGAGCAAGGTGGGAGGGTAGCCCCTTGAGAGTGTAAAGGATGGCGAGATGAGGCCAGGGCTGGTTTTGAATGAGAAGGAAGCAGCTCCCCGGGTGTGGTCACCAGGTTCCTTGGATGCCCCTGCAGACTTGTCTTCTCTGGTCGACTCTGTCCTTAGAAACATGTCCCGGAGGCGGTGGGGCCTCTGGCCTTCTTGTGGGAGGTTCTAGATCCTCCAAAGGAGCCAGAAGAAGCAGCCTGTGAGGCAGCACGTGCCAGAGTGCTGATAATTCCAAGAAACTCAAGGAATTCCAGACTGCAGATCTCTATGTGAGTCTAATGTGATCATCAATGTGCCAGTTTGTTTCCTCTGCCTGACCCTCAAGGCACTTCTCCCTCTGCCTTTGTCTTGGCTTTCCCTTGGGTCTAGGGGACTCTCTGGTGCCGGCGAGGCCTCTTGGGGAAGTCCCCCAAGACAGTTCACTCCCAGGACAGACAGAAGGAGGCCCTGGGCTGGGGGGGAAGGGGCAGCCAGGCCGGGTCCCCTAGACTTAGATTCGTCACCCACCCATCTTCTATCAAAAGGCTTGTCCCCTCCATGTTCTCCCCTCCATGCCCCGTCCCTCCGTCCCCTCCTGCCCTCTGAGGGGGCATACCAGGCAGGCAGGACTCTCACCGCTTGCTTCTCCTCTGTGCCCTCGGGCATCTGTCATCTCCCTAATCTCTCTTGGACAACGTAACACACACACATTCACACTCATTGGTACTGGAAGGCCAGGCACCCCTGCTATGCGCTTGGTGGGCATCAGCATCAAGTTCAGGTGGGAAACTGACAGTTAGGCCTGGGTTGCCAGCGGCACCGAGTGGCTGGTGCTGCTTCTGACTCCCCAGAAATTACGCCGAGTTTCAAGCATTGATGCATCAGGGAATGGAGAAGCGAAAGGAAAAGCCGTGTGATGAAAACCAGGAAGGAACGACTCCTGTGCTGAGTGTCTCCACGGAGAAACTGTGGCAACAGCAGGAGCAAGCTCTCCACTGTCCCCTCTGAAACCCAAAGCCTTTGGGGTCTGAGTTTTCCAAGACATGCAATAGACAAAGACACACTGCAAACCGATTAACCCTCTGAGCCCTGCCGGGACTCTCACTGAAGTCACTTTCAACAAGGAAATGACCTGAACACATGGAACATTCACCCTCCTCCTGGGGCCGAAAAAGGGACCGAGCTTCCGGCTGGCTTAGAAGGTGCCAGAGAACTGGCCTGGGGAGCGCTTATTCTCTCTCAGCGTCCTGGTATCCCAAACCGTTCCCTGCCCCTTGCAGAAACAGGGGAGAGGGCCCGGGGGTAGGCTCAACACCCAGGTTGATTGAGACCCAAGAGATCGTCTCCTGTGAAGCCAACCCAAGCTCAGGAGGCAGACAAGGGCTGGGGACAGACAGAAGACTGTGTGGAAGGCAGCCACGTGCACAGAGCAGACAGCCCTGCAGAACTCAAGTCTTCTCTAGCCTCTCAGCTGATCAGGGAAAAAGGAACTTCAGCTGCTTTTAGCCTGTGTGATGCTCGTTAATTCAGTTTACACTAGAGTTTAGCTGCTCTCTGTCCCCCCACCCACCGAAGAGAGGGGACCCTGGAAAAGCAGGTGTGGCCTGACATGCCTCAATCAGGCCCCTACTTGAAGCAACAAGACAAGCAGGCCCTAATTCACAGTTTCCACTCCCCCCCTCGACCCACCCCTTCCCCCACCACTGGCCTCAATTAACTCCCGTCTCCAATGCGCAACAGTTCCTGCCAGTGTGGCTCAAAGGGTTAATAAACCAGGACTTCTCGGACAGTCAGGACACAAGCTCATTCACCAAAGACGACGGGAGCCCGAGAATGGCAACGCGGCCACCTAGGGTTTCTTATAACGGTTCTTTGGGGTCTCGCCACACCCTGTCTTGTCACAGTTGAGAGCACCTGGGTTCTTCCCCAGCCCGAGGCTGCCCAGGAGGCTGGGGAGCTCCTGGGTGATGGCCCGCTCAATCTTATCCAGAAAGCAGCCTCCCATGTAGGAGCACTGCTGGGACAGGAGCTTGAAACTGGAGATGGGGTTGATGCCAAAGAAGTCCTTGTAGGCCTCGCGGTGGGGAAGGTCAAACTTGCTGACGTTGGTCTTGGCCAGGATGGTCTTGAAGATGTAGAATTTATCAGGGTCTTCCACGATGTCCTTAAAGACCAGCTCCCCGTCACTGAAAAAGGTCATCTTCTCCTTGTACGTCTGCAGGTAGCGGTCCACCAGGAGGGCGTGAATGCGGACCCGGATGGCATGCTGGCGGATGAAGGCAATCTTGTTCTCCAGCCTGTTCTCGATCACCTGGTTCAGGTCCTCCAGGAGGGAGATCTCTTCCCTGAGAAACAGGTCCCGGTGGGTGTCGGGCTTGTAGTCGTAGGGCCAGAAGGAGCTGACGTACACCCGTGGAGGCTCTGTGACATTGATGAGAGGGGCCAGGCTCCAGAAGAGGGCCCCGTACACCCTCATGAGCATCTGCGTGGCGAGGTTGTCAGCCTTGTTCAGGATGATCCTTATCTGGGACTCGCGCCCCTTCAGCTGGCGGAAGAGCATCTCCAGCTCCAGACCCACGTCCAGCTTGGTGGGATCGAAGACGACGAAGATGAGGTCCGCTCTGTCGATGAACCACTGGCACACGTCGTTGAAGGGGTAGCCTTGGGGAGAGGGAGCGAGAAGTCAGGCTGGGCAGACCCCACCCACACCCAGGCCCCCCGCCCCTCCTTCCAGAACCAGACCATTCTGTGGCTTTGAAGGGACTAAGAACGTCAGGGATTTTCTGGGTTTCTGAAGACTTTTTAAAGAATTCATTACACATCTCCTGCTCCTTGTCAACCCTCAATCAAGAACGGCCTGGGGAAATGTCCTGGAGGTCCAGTGGTTAGGACTCCACACTTTCACTGCTGAGGCCTCAGGTTCAATCCCTGGTTGGGGAACTAAGATCCTGCAAACTGCGTGGTACAGCTAAAAAAAAAACAAAAATGGCCTGATTCTTGTTTTAATCCACAGTGGAATTCAAGGCTCCAGGAAAACAAAACATTTCTGCCAAATGGAGATTTTCCCACTGCTTGAAAAGATCTGGGGCAGTGGCAAAGATGTTAAAGGAAATAAGTCAAAAAAAAAGGAAATAAGTCAGGGAATTAGAAGGAATAAAAGAGAGGGTGCATCACTTAGGGGAAATAAATATGGACCTGCCATCGAGACCTGGACTAGAATTTGGGCTCCATCACTAACCAACTGAAAATTAAATGCTTCTAAGCCTTACCATTTTAGTTGAAAAATGACAAAAAGAACAATACCACCTAAGGTGAAATAAAGATTACAATGTTGCTAGAAACACAGGAAAGCACTGAACTAAAACTGCCATCCAGTCACAGGGTAGGTGCTCAATACATCCTAATTCCTTTAATTTATTTCCAAAATGGGAGGAGTAGGGATACCTGTCTCGAAATGTTTCTACAATGATCAACCAATAACACATGGAAATTATCCAGTGCGTTAGAAGAGTGCAATAAAGGTTAATTTACTACTATAATTATTAGCAATAATATTATTATTAGCTATAAAACAGGATCTGGTTATAACAAAATGAGAGTTATAACCATAAACTGAGATCCACCATCTGTTCATCTATTCTGACAAACGCCCCGTTATGACTCATCTCTGCAGATGGCGCTGCATCACGGTGACATTCAGTGGCGCTCCCCTGCCACCTGAAGGCAAGCGGGGCTTTGGAAAGTCTGAGACAGGATTGTGTTGAAGCAGGTCTGGCAAAGCAGATATTGGGACCAGGACGAGTTGAAGGTCAGGTTTAACCCAGACCCACGTTAGCCAGAGGTCAAGTGCACCTGGACAGGGATCCAATCAGTCCAGGCCCTTGATCACCTGGACAGCTTGTGCATCCCAAAGACACAGCAGGGACCTCGAGGAGCTCCTGGCAAGAAGCCCAGCCCTCCCCCTGGCAAGATGCTGACGGCCTCCAAACCAGACCATTCTTCAAGGAAGTAAAAGGATGAGGTACCCACACCTAGGAGGCCTCACAGTGATGACAAAGAAAAGGCCGGAAGCAAAGAATGCATCCCCGAGTCTTGGCCAACGCTGGTCTCCCCCGGTCTGCCTACCACCCTCTGCCTTGAACAGTTTCCTAAGACAGAGCTCAGGCTGTTCAGAAATGAGTGTTAAATTACCTCTTTCTTGCTGCTTGCGGTTCTCAATGATGCCTGGTGTATCCACAAATGTGACCCGCTCCAGGAGCTTGTGGGGAACCTCAATGCCGATCAGCTTCTCCAGGAAATTCTGGCCAAACTTCTCGAGGGGCGAGAAGGACCGGGCACTGTCAGCAGCCATGACGATGCCCTCGATGGTCTTCAGCTTGGGCCCGTGCATGAGGACCGTGAACTCCGAGGTGGTGGGCTCGGCGCCTGCACACACAGGTTAGAAGGGACACAGGCATCTCACATCACAGCAACACAAAAGGAGCCACAGGAGAGACTACTGGGGGTGGGGGGTGGAGGAATGGAAGTTAGGGTTTATTTATTTTGATTTTTTGGCCATGGCACCTGGCTTGCGGGATCTTAGTTCCCCAGCAGGAAAAGTGCCGAGTCCTAACCACTTGACAACCAGGGAATTCCCTTTCCTGCACTTTCTGTCTCCATGAATTTGATGACTCTAGGGACCTCATATAAGTGAAATCATACGATATCTGCCGTTTTATGTCTAGCTTATTTCACTTAGCATGTCTTCAAGATTCAGCCATGTTGTGGCATGTATCAGAAACTAATTCCTTTTCAAGGCTGAATAATATTCCCTTGTACAGATGGAATGAACACATGTTTTTTACCCATCATCAGTTGATGGATATTGGTTTGTTTCTACCTCTTAGCCATAGCAAATAACGCTGCTGTGAACATGGGTATAACTGCCGGTTTCTTGCACATAATTTTCATTACTATATTGAAGATGTGTATGAATATTTTTGTTTTTCTTTTTTTAATATGCAAGATCCTATTTTTTTAGTTGAAATATAACTGACTTACGATATCGTGTTAGATTCAGGTGTACAACAGCGTGATTCATTATTTTCATACATTAAGAAATGATCTCTACAGTAAGTCCAGTTACCGTCTGTCACCATACGAAGTTACTAGTGTTGTTTTCTATATTCCCTGTGCCATACACTGGGCTTCTCTGATAGCTCAGTTGGTAAAGAATCTGCCTGCAATGCAGGAGACCCCAGTTTGATTCCTGGGTCGGGAATATCCGCTGGAGAAGAAATAGGCTACCCACCCCAGTATTCTTGGGTTTCCCTTGTGGCTCAGCTGGTAAAGAATCTGCCCACAATGCGGGAGACCTGGGTTCGATTTGTGGGTTGGGAAGATCCCCTGGAGAAGGGAGGGGTACCCACTCCAGTATTCTAGCCTAGAGAATTCCATGGACTGTATAGTCCATGGGGTCACAAAGAGTCGGACACAACTGAGCGACTTTCACTTTCACTTACGCCATACATTTGTTGCTGTTCAGTCACTAAGTCCTGTCCAACTCTGCAACCCCATGGACTGTAGCTGACCAGGATCCTCTGTCCATGGGGTTCTCCAGGCAAGAAAACTGGAAGGGCTTGCTGTTTCCTTCTCCAAAGGCTTTTTCTGGACCAGGGATCGAACCTGAATCTCCTGCATTGGCAGGAGGATTCTTTACCACTGAGCCACCAGGGAAACCCTATATTAATGCTATACTGTAATTTAAAAAAATAAAATTTCCTGTGTAGTCAAATACTTTTAACTCATTTCTGATTTTACATATATATATATCTTTTAAAACTAATGTAACCCCTTTAAATCTTTGTATATTGAATCATAGATACCTCACTGATCTCCAAGTGTTTCCGCATGGCATTACAGCTTAAGTTTAGTGGGTACAGGATCTCTTCCCTGGTACTTTGTGCCATACACTACAGCCCCTAAATGTTTCATTTTTTTCACAATGCTTTTTACATGTGACATTGAAATGCCAACAGGCACACAAGAAAGTCACGCTGTTACCTGTGTAGAGCTGGTAGCGAGTGTTTTCCAAGCCAAGGAGGTAGTTGATCATGGTGGATTTGCCAACACTCCACGGCCCCAGGAACAAGACCATCGGCTTGGATGTGATCTCCCCATCTGTGGGCAGCAGGGACAAGACATGGACATGAACTCAAAGCTCTTCACTGTGGAGGGACAGGATTCTTCACTTTGTGCCCCAGACAGTCCATCAGGACCTGTGGGTTTCTACCCTGGACCATAGAACATGGCATGGTCAGGAGCACGTCTTGTTCTGCGTTAGTGTGATGACCCAGTTAGCACCCAAGAGAATACAGCATTTGGACTGTGGCACACCAGCATTTGGACCATGCACAGACCCACAGCACACCGGCCCCCAAGAGGGAGGGATCCACTGAGGTCAACAAACACTGACTCAGAACTCACACTGGGGGAGACCTCCAGGCTCAGATCTGGGAGCGCACCATTCATAGGAGGGGCAGGAGAGAGCGGCCACCAAGGAGAGGCTAAAACGCCGCTACCTGAATTGGTTACAGAAGAAGTCATGGAAGAGGTTTATACCCTCTGGGATGGTCTGGACCCGGGCGCTGCCTGCCCTCTGCCTCCCTCTGCTTAGCTGCACCTCCCAACACCCCTCCTCAGGCTCAGCCCAAGCCGGGCAACAGGGCCGGTCTCAAATGTCAGCCTCCAAAGTCCATGACGCGTTTGCCAGTGTCCAAGACCAAGCACTGACTCGGCAATTCTCGGGTTCTTGTCCCATGTTGGGGAGAACACCCTGCCTGGGCCTCTCCAGTGTGGGTCCCTGAGAAGAAAATGCAGAATTTTCCAGTGCTTTCAAAACCCAGGGATGGGGAGGGGACAGTGAGAGGCTTTCCACATGGGAGATTCACAGTCTCCTGTTGCAGACTTCCAGCCCTTAGGGCACATAGAGTCGGCCATGCACAGCTTTTTTTTTTTTTGGCCCTGCAGCAAGGCATGTGGGATCTTAGTTTCTAGATCAGGGCTCAAAGCCACACCTGCTGCATTGGAATCACGGAGTCTTAACCACTGGACCACCAGCTTAGTACCTAAAGTTCTCCAGGCATCTTAGCCCCGCTGAGCCTGGCAGGCAAGGCCTTAACACAGGAGGCACTGTGGTGGTTTTTTTTTTTCTTTCTTTCAGTTATTTTTTAAAATGTTAATTGATTTCATTTCTGGATTAAAAAATCAGAAGTATAAAAAGGTATACAGAGAAGAGTCTCCCCTCCATGTCCTCAAGCTGCTTAGGCTGTGTGTCCTTCCAGATATTTGAATGCGTGTGTGAGACCACATCTGGTATTCCCATCTCTTTAAGAATTTCTCAAAGTTCATTGTGAGATCAAACCAGTCAATCCTAAAGGAAATCAATGATGAATATTCATTGGAAGAACTGATGCTGAAGCTGAAGCTCCAGTACTCTGGCCACCTGATGCAAACAGCCGACTCACTGGAAAACACCCTGATGCTGGGAAAGATTGAGAGCAGGAGGAGAAGGGATGGGTGAGGATGAGATGGTTGGGTGGTATCACCAACTCAATGGACGTGAGTTTGAGCAAACTCCGGGAGATGGTGAAGGACAAGGAAGCCTGGCATGCTGCAGTCCATGGAGTCAAAAAGAGTCAGACATGACTTAATGACTGAAGAACAACCCCTGGCTGGGGTGCAGAAAGGAACAGGAGGGAGGGGGGTGGGGGTGGCAGGAATCCCCAGTCACAGCCACAGAGATCCTACAAGGAGCATCTTTTTCCCCAGCCCAGGCCCCACTAAGGGGAACCTGGCCTTCCAGCTCCCCTGCAAGACCACCTCGCCAGTGTTCCCAGCTGCTGTTTCCGCTCCCTGCAGCAGGGGGCGGCACTGGCACATGCAGGAGGCTACAGGTGCGGCACCCAGGAGGGAGGTCACAGGAGGATGACCCTGGGCTCGGAAGAGCCCGGACACTGGCAAGAGAAGAGGGGAGAGGAGGGGCACCTGGACAGAGAGATCAGGCCCCGGGGATGCCCTCTCTGCAGAGTGCCATCCCCACAGGCCGCCTGCCTGCTGTCTCTGGCCTGAACATTCTGAGAAGCCTGCAAAGGAATGGTGAAACAAGGAGGAGATGGAGGAAGTTACAGCTCTTAATTCCAGCCTGTGTGGCCTGGGCAGTCCAGCGTCTCTCTGGGCCTCTGGTCCGCCTTCTGTAAAGCAGGGATGAGGAAGGCCCTACAACAAACCCCTCCCTGCACAGCGTCACAGGAGATGATGCAGAAACAGCCAACTAACACAGGAAGGGACGTGCAATTTCACTCCCTGCTCAAAAGCAAATTAGATTCCCGTCTCAGGCTGGGTCGTATTGGGAGACTGGGATTGGCATATATACACTAGTGCAGTGTGCATGTGTGCATGGTCAGTTCCTCAGTCCTGTCCAACTCTTTGTGACCCCATGGACTGTAGCCCACCAGGCTCCTCTGTCCATGGAATTCTCCAGGCAAGACTACTGGAATGGGCTACCATTTTCTCCTCTAGGGCATCTTTCTGACACAGGAAACAAACCCATGTCTCCTGCATCCCCTACATAGGCAGGCGGATTCTTTACCACTGTGCCACCTGGGAAGCCTATAAACTATGTTAAAATAGATAACTAATGAGAACCTACTGTATAGTAGAGACGTCTACTCAGTGCTCTGTGGTGACCTAAATGGGCAGGAAATCCAAAAAAGAGGGAATCTATGTGTACGTACAGCTGATTCACTTTGCTGATTCACTTTTACAGTAGAAACTAACACAGCATTGTAAAGCAACTATATTCCAATAAAACATTTTAAATTAAATTTTAAAAAAAGAAAGGTGATCAAAGGTGAAACAGGAATTTTTCTGCCGCCCCCTGAAAAAACAACTAGAACAATAATAGCAATTAGATGTCATTGTCAACAGGTTTCCAAGACAAGAGACACTTTAAAGTGTCCTTGCTGGGAGGCATCAAGAACTCTGTCCTGTTGCTGCTGTATACAGAGGACAACCTAAGGCAACTGGACAACAACTATCAGAATGCTGAATTCCAGCATTATTTAAAAAAAAAAAAACATATCCTATAAATAAACTTGTGTGAAATATGGAACAACTGTAGCAGTGTCTGTAACACTCTGAAAAGGGAACGAGGCAAACGCCCAGTGGTTCATCAACAGGGTATGCTATCTAAGGTGGTGGGCTCCCAAAGACCAGAAAGAGCAATTGTGTGCTGTGATCCCATCTTTTAAAACAGAGGAAAAGACACCCGTGGGCATGGAAGCAGAGTGCTGTCTGGAGGCCCTGATGAGAAACTGTAGCCGCGTGTGTCTCTGAGAGTGGAATCAGAGAGACTGGAAATCAAGACAGGTATTTTTTTAAATTTTTCAACTTATACTATTTTGCACAGAAATATTTTTGGTTGCCAGTTTATCTTATTTTTTTTAATTATTTTGAAAATCAATTTTTAAAAGAATCCAGACCCATGGGAAGTGGACAGGGGAGAGAAGACTCAATCTGTAAGTGAATGAGGAGCCCCATGGGGGCTTGGAGCACAGCAGTCAGGAAGTTGGCATCTTTTGGAAACCCAAAGTGCACTCAACAATCTCACAGAGGAAATGTAAATACCTGTGTAGATCAAGGGCACACCTGCTGGGAAAGTCTGGCCCTTCTCACTGAGGTCTCCGGGGGCGCCCCCCCCCCCACCTCGAGGGCTTGGTGGAGAGATGGGGCGGGCGGGGTCGATACCTGTGATCTCGTGCTGCCGAAGCTCATTGTATTTGTAAGACTGCTCCAGGGGCTTGATGGACGAGTGGTAGATCTTTCGAAGCCGCTGCAGCACCGCTGGGGGCAGAGAAGGGTGAAGGGTTAAGGTCAGGCAGGGGCTTCGCAGCTGTGGCCCCATCTAGAAGGCACTCCCCCTACACACACCCCTGAAAGTCACCACAGCATTTTTGTTTTTCCACTTAGCCCTCTGGTCCTTCCCCTCAACAGTTCATAGCACTACCTCGGCCTGCGGCTACCTCGAGGTGCTGGGAACTCCAGCTCTTTCTCTCTGCCCCCTACCGCTACCTGCCTTAGGATCAGAGGCAAGCAGGCATGACCACCCCAGTCCTGCACCCTTCACCACATCCCTGGTACCCTGGGAGGATTCAGACATCCCAAGTGTCTTCTTGGGAAAATGTGGCTCCAGGGAGAAAGGGCTTGTGGGGTGAGGTGCAGGGAGGGATGAACTTGGAGCCGTGAGGGTCAGGCTCCCCAGCTGCCCGTCAGCGGCAGAAAGCCCTGCTGACAGCCTTGGGTTACTATGAGGGTGAAATGGAATACCAGACATGAAAAGGCTTTATAAACTGTAAAACTTGAAGCCAGTGTGATGAACAACCTTCCCCCGGCCACAACTCGGATGCTGGCACTGTCAAAATGACCCTGATGCTGGGAAAGATTGAGGGCAGGAGGAGAAGGGGGTGACAGAGGGTGAGACGGCTGGATGGCATCGAAGACTCAATCAACACAAGCTTGAGCAAACTCCAGGAGACAGTGAGGGACAGGGGCTGGCATGCTGCAGTCCATGGGGTCCCCAAGAGTGGGACACGACTGAGCAACAACCGTCCCCAGGTCTGCAATGTGCATCCCCAACTGGTCCCTCTGTTTGGATTGCCTTTCCTCCTTCCTGCCAACCCAGAGCCCTCCAGCTTGGACGCTGCTCACAGAGCCTCCTCCACGAACAGAAGCGCTCCCCTCCCTTCAACTCCAGGGCTCTCCTCCTCCCCTGGGGTGTCTGCCGGCCTCAGCTACAGACTCAGAGGTTCTGCCTGGCCACTGGCCCCGGGGATCTCCCCTCCCCACCCGGCCCCACCCAGCCCCTGCCTCTGGTTACCAGAGAAGTCATCAGCTGGCTTGTCCTCATTCAGCATCAGAGTTCTCTCGATGTGGGAGCGGTCCCTCAGCGGGGCTTCCTCACTCACATCCTCCGCCTCTTCTGGGGAAAGAAGCAGAGATGGAGGTTAGGGCAGAGTGAGGAGCCATTGGCTCTCTCTCTCCCTCCAGTCAGGCAAGCTGGGGAGTGGGGGGGGGGGGCGGGCAGGATCGCAAGCAAGTGCTGACCGGAGCCGGTCCAGGTTCAGCTGCACGGAGCTCTGTCTCTAGGAGGGACTTTGAAAATCCAAACTCAACATCTGTGAAGCTCCACGATCCATTTTAGGTATTCAGCAAATGTTGACTGAGCACCTACTATACACGCGCCAAGCACGGAGCATTGTGCTGTGAATGCCGCGGTGCCCCAAACCGACCCAGCTCTGCCCACGTGGAGTTTTCCACAGTCTGCGGGGAGACAGGGAGAAGTAACCTGGAAAGTAATACAATTACAGGCATCGATGTGGATGTGGCTTCGGGAGGAAAGAGTCCGGAAGCTGGGAGGGCCTAAGACGTGTGCCTATGACATTTTAGCTGGGGAAGTTGGAAAATGTTCTGAGGGTTGCCTGTGAACTGAGATCCAGGACAGGAGAAGGAGTGGTTTATAGGAGACTGACTTTCAGCTTCTATGTGGACCACTGGCTTGGTCAAGTGAGCATTTCATCAGGAAGAGCTGCTACAGGGAGTCTTGGGGAGCGGAGGGGGAGTAGGGAGAGGGGGGAGGGAGAGGGGGGTACACTGTTGCTTCTGACCCAGCAAGAGGTGCCCGTGACCACCTGAGGCTCCCAGGGAGGGGAGCTCATATTCCCAGGCCTCTTAACATCACAGCCATTTTTTTTTTTGTAATCCTGGGCTAATTGCGCAAAGAATTTTAGGTGATGGAAGGAGGATGGACCTGGCCTGTGGGAACAAGGGGAGACCAGTTCCAGGAGGGACGGGAGCAGAGAATAATCAATGTATCTCAACAGGGTGATCTTTTCTGCGATCAGACCCAGATCTGGGAGGCCAGGGGAAGGGTCCCCCATTGCAAGTACCCGACCAGTGTGGAAATGAAGTTCTTGCAAGGAAACCTACCAGTGTGGAAATGAAGTTCTTGCAAGGAAACCTGCATTGGAAACTGAAGACTGACTCTAGTGCCTCCGTCCTACAAGCCAATTCCTGGCCCAGGTCAGTGTACTCAGTGGACAAGGCCATGGCCAGTGCTGGACACACCTCTAATGCTGCCCAATAACTTAGGTCCTGCCCACTTCCATCCCCCCACCCTGTCCCCTACCCCTGAGGGTGGCTGCTCCAGCCACTCATCTGCAGGACAGACATCTGTGGGACAGACACCTGCTGGACGTACAGCCAGCCCAGTGTTTCTTATCAGGATCCTGACATGACCTAGTCTTCAGGGAGAGGTCCCAGGAGCTAGCCGACCGTCGTGGTCCCCCAATGCACCTCACACCCACCAGCCTGCCTCCCGGCCTCAAATCCTGCCCCTGTGTCCCTTGTCCTTGGGGTTTAGGCACTGGTCTGTGTTAAACGAGGGACTCTTAACGGATAAGTTTCTGATGGCCTAACTCAGATGTAACCAGGTTCCTCTGGGCCCTCCAGGGTGCAGGCTCTCAGTGCGTCTCTCTGAAGTGGGGATAAGTGATTAAGGAACAGCCCGGAGGCACCCAGAGGGCCGGGAACCCCCATGGGGCCTCTGCCCCACGACCCCCGCGGTTTCCTGGAGGCTCTCCCGCCCACCCTGCCGGTCCCTGTCTGCTCCTACATACAAGACCTCAGGGAAGACTGCAGCCGCCAGAATGCCCGAAGCAGCCCCCTCCGTCGAGGTGCCCGGGGGGAGGTGGGCAGCCCTGTGACGCCCCCTACCCTGTGGCCCCTCCTCCTTGGGCTCCTGCGCGGCGGCACCCTCGGGCGATTCCTCCGGGGACCCCTCCTCCCCGGGGCTCGCGCTTCCCGCTGCCGCGTGGGCTCCTTCCCCAGCTTCTTTCTCGGCTTCCTCCTCCGAGGCGCCCCCGGCTTCTTCCGAACTAGCCCCGTCGCCGCTGTCCTCTTCGTCGCCGCTGTCCTCTTCGGATTCTTCACCCCCCTCTTCTTCAGAGGAGGCCTCGTCCGGGTGCTCCGCGGGTATCCCCTCCGCGGGGCGGTGCTCCCGGGAGCCCCCCTCCTCTTCACGCGCGGCAGCGTCTTCCGCGGCCGCGGCGGAGCTGGAGCTGGGTTCCGCCTGGTCCTCCGTCCTCTGCGCGGCTTCTGCGTCCACATCCGCGGCTCCATCAGGCACTTCTGGCTCCTGACCGGGCCCTGGGCTGCCCTGCCCTCCTGTCTCGACCTCCTGGCTGGGAGAGTCCCCTGCGTCCTCAATCTCTGGGGCCCCCGCCGCTGCTCCCTGCGCGGGGTCTTCCCCTAGCGCCTCCGCAGCTTCCTCGGGGACCTCGCCGCTCCCAGCCGGCCCCTCCGCCTCCTGTCCTGGGCCCTCTCCGGAGCTGAGCTCCCGCGCCCCTTCCTCCTCCCCGGGCTCCTCCTCCCCTCCTGGGGGAAGGGCGCTCGCTGCTCCCGGCGGGCCCGCTCCCGGCGGGTCCGCATCTTCCGCCACGGGCCCCAGAGGTTCCCCCGGGGTAGCAGACTCGGAGGCCGAGGCGTTGGAGAGGCTGGCTTCGGCATCGGGATCGGGATCCGAGCCCAGACCGTCGGCGGCTGTCTTCTCCGAGCTCCCATCCTCCCCGCCTTCTGTGGGGTGAAGGAGCGGGTGCGTCTCTTCAGGGGCCGCCTCTGACCGAAGCGCCCTTTCTTTCTCCTCTAGACTTGCGTCTCCGGCAGAGAAATGATTCTCCAACAAATTGCCAACATCTTCCGTGCCACCCGAAGCGGAAACTTGCAGTTCTAGATGATCAGAACACGAGGGGTCAGTGTCAAGGGGTTGGCACGCGCTTTGCTTCTCACAACTCTTAAAAACTCAGCCTGTCTCCCGGAGGGAGAGCGGTGCGGACCTGCGGGGACGGTGGGGCTCCTCCCTCCCGGGTCTTCGGAACCGCCCCGCGTGGCCGGCAGAGCGGGCGTGCCCCCCTCCTGACCCGAGGCTGGGCTCTGAGCGAGCAGCTGACCCGCTCCAGCCCCGCCCCGGCCTTGCCAGCCTCCCCCGGGGGGATGGAAGCTGGGCGCCGCCCTTCCAGTCCTTCCTCAACCGTGCGGGCGGGCACGTGCAGCCTGGCTCGCCTGGCAGATCTTTCCAAGACAGGGCCGATGGGAACTGCCACCCCTGGTCAGTTCCTAGAGTCATTAACCAGCATGCTTTTTATATTGCTATCAGCAAAGGAGTGAAAACAGGTGCGTGCGGGCCAGGTCCTCTTGGGTTACGGTGCACACAGCACTTGGGGGATTACTTACGGCTCTCAACCTTATTAAGTCACACATCCAACTCTGTCCTCTTAAGGGCAAGCATCTGCTGGCCTCTCTACCTTAGATTAGAGGGGACGTGTGGCAGGAGGAGATACCCTCGCGGGCAGGCCTGGGCCTTCCGATGGCCTTCGCCAACTCTTTCCGAGGGGATCCCCTTCTAAGGGCCGAGGGCTTTAAGGGGAGAGCCAGGGGCACTGGGAGGGCAAAGCAGAGGGCAGGCAGGGGCCCAGAATGTGCCTCTGTCAAGGGACGAGTGTGATGCATCTGGACAGTGGGGTTAGAAGAGAGGGTCCTTGGGCTAGTCCTTCTGAGCCTTCCCGCCTAGGTGGGGACGTGTTTAAGGAGGAGCCCTGCAGAGTGGGACATCGCAGGCACATGGGGATGAGGGAAGTGGGGGCCCTGCCTCAGGGTTGCTGAGACGCTCCTGGGTCTCCCTGGGTTCACAGGACTCTTTCTGAGGAAGGAGCATCCTGCCTCAGTGCTGGCCCAGCTCTGCCTCCCACAAAGAAAAGCCACTTCTTGGGGGGTACCCACCCCCTTGTTCCCTGAAAGTTGGGGAAGCCTCTTAAGGGCCAGGCACAAATATTTTCTCATTAATCCCCACAGACACAATCTGCTATCAAATTCAGAAAGATGGGAAGTTTGGGTGCCTTTCGTTATAAAGGAGCCCGTATGTTGATGTAACACTCCCCCCACTCACGTTTGTGACCCCATTCACCTCCCTTATTACTATCAGCCAGATTTCAGAGCTGAAGATCTAGAGAAAGTGTTTGATTTGCCCAAGACACCAGGTGGCTAGTGGGCAAGCGGAACCCAGAACTGCCCACTCCTTGCCCAGGCCTTCCATGCCATGCTGAGGGGAGCACATGGGAGCCCCTTCCTACTGGTACCTCTGCCCTCCCTGGATGCACCCGCTCTGGCTCCTGGACTGCAGGCTGGGACCCTGCCTGACCAACGCCCCCGCCCCGCCGCGAGAAAGTGCTGTGAAGAGGTCCATGGGGAGATTTGGGTACATTCAGAATTCCTGGTCCCTTAGTTGGGGAGCTGGAGGTAACGCATTAAAATTTTCTTTCATTACCACCTGAATACCTGTAAGTCCTCATTCCTCTGCCTGAATCTCTATCTGCCCTGCCCCCAACCTCTGGGGAAAATAAAAATCTACGGCAGGAATTTGGTTTAACCCAAGAGATTGACAGGCCTTTGAGTAGCAAGATAGATATATAGATATCATATGAGATACATTTGGACAATTAGTGTGCCAGGCAAATGCTTGAGCACTGGATGTATAAAACATGAACTTGATCTTACTCTATTTGCTTGCTTCTGTGAAACAAGTCTTATTCACCACCATTTTACAGATGAGAGGACTGGAATCAGAGGCACTGAATGTCTTGCCCCCAACATCACGCAGCTAGCAACCGGCTGAGGCCATTTAACTTTGGAACTGCAAAGGAGATCGTCTGATCCTGCAGCGGGGCTCTCCCCAGCCCCCTACCCCACCCCGCACCCCTCCCAACACTCCTCAGCCTGTGGTCCAGGCACCTGCAGCAACAGCATCACCTGGGAGAGATGCCAACTCTTAGGCCCCAGCCCAGCAGCACTGACTCAGTATCTGCATTTGAGCCACTCACTGGTTGCACATTACAGTTCGAGAAGCACTAGTCAACCTGAGCCTATAAAACTGCCTCTAAACCAGTGGTTCTCGCCACTGTCTGTACATGGAAACACCTGGTTCTTGATCCCACTCCTCTCCCCCTCCTTGAAGGTTCTCATTGAATTAATTAGTCCAGGGTGTAGCCCTAGCATCGGGACTGTTCAGTTCAGTTCAGTCGCTCAGTCATGTCCGACTCTTTGCAACCCCATGAACCGCAGCACGCCAGGCCTCCCTGTCCATCACCAACTCCCGGAGTCCACCCAAACCCACATCCATTGATGCCATCCAACCATCTCATCCTCTGTCATCCCCTTCTCCTCCTGCCCTCAATCTTTCCCAGCATCAGGACTGTAACCCCCTCCAAAAAATTAGATGGGGGGTGATTCTACTCAGGGATTTCCCTGATAGCTCAGTTGGTAAAGAATCCACCTGCAATGCAGGAGGCCCCGGTTCAATTCCTGGGTCGGGAAGATCTGCTGGAGAAGGGATAGGCTACCCACTCCAGTGTTCTTGGGATACCCTTGTGGCTCAGCTGGTAAAGAATCTGCCTGCAATGCGGGAGACCTGGGTTCAATACCTGGGTTGGGAAGATCCCCAGGAGAAGGGAAAGGCTACCCAGCCAAATAACCCTGAACCTAAGGCTTCTGCTCCTGGCCTCTCTCCACTCATGTGCCCCCTGGAGGCGTCCAAATTAGATGGGTCACAAGGTCTTGGCATATGACCTTGGAATAACAGTGGTCAGGGCTTCTCCTCTGGGGAGTCCAGCCCCTTTCAACAGGCCCTGACACCCTCTACTGTTAAAGTTGTTGATGCTGGTGGTGATGATAATGAAGATGGTGATAATGGTGATGATGGCGATGATGCTGGTGGTGGTGATGCTGGTCATGATGATGGTGGTACTGAGGATGATAATGGTGACTCTTGTCGTTCAATCGCTAAGTCGTGTCTGACTCTTTGAGGCCCTATGGACTGCAGCATGCCAGGCTTCCCTGTCCTTCACTGTCTCCCAGAGTTTGCTCACACTCATGTCCATTGAGTCGGTGATGACATCCAACCATCTCACCCTCTGTCACCCCCTTCTCCTCCTGCCCTCAATCTTTCCCAGCATCAGGGTCTTTTCCAATGAGTCTGCTCTTCTCATCAAGTGGCCAAAGTAATGGTGACAGTGATAGTGATGGTGATATGATAGTGTTGATGGTGGTGATGATACCAGGCTGAACGGACTCTGGGTCTGACTACCTGCAGCATTTCTGCTATTCTCAGAACACCCTCTGGCCCAGTGGAGGTGGGAGGGCTGCATCATCTGAAGGGAGATAAGGCCCTTTGCACTGCTGTGTGTTTCCGCACCTGGGCCCTAGACAGGAACTCAGGCGTGTGCGTGTGTGTTGACTTATGTACATCCATACTCTTCCCTGGTTTTTATGACTTAGTGCCAAGTTTCCCCTGCCCTTCCAGTGACAAACAGCGAGGGTGATGACTTCATGCCCCATGATCTTCCTTCCCAGGCTAAAAATAACTTCTCTGAGAGAGAGTCTCTCAATGAAACAAGCTGTGCCATTGGGTCTCCAGAGCTCAAAGCCCAGGAAGCAGCTGTGTCATTGGGTCCAATCTCTCCTCCTGGAAGCAGTTCTGAGGCTTAAAGAGCCTCTGGTTAAACTTAATTCAATTCTGTGAAATCAAACCAGGGTGGTCTTACCCTGACTTCCTTAACTTCTTGCAGAAGCCCCCCAGCGGCCCCAGAGGAGGGGTGGGGGGCACAGAGGACCCAGGACACCCTGACCAGGTTGAGAGCCTGGTGAGATGGGTCTCAGTCTCTCCCAGGACATGCAGTACCACACTGTATGTGCTGCTGCCAAGGCAGCCGCCCAGGCCCTGGGCAAGCCTGGGTGCTAACGTCAGCGTATGCAAATAGCAAGCCCCCGGCTCAACCCTGGAGATCAAGGAAGGCCCCTGAGCTTGACAGGTGCCCCGGGGCAGAGCACAGCGTAAACTGGCTCCGTTTTCTCTCCTGACAGCCTCTCTGTCATCAGCCTTTCTCTGCGGGGGTCAGCTTCTCAGCTGCTCCCCTGCCCATAGCCTCAGTGGGGGCCCCAGGCTCAGTTCCTCTCTCCACTCTCCACTGCCAAACACCAGATTTTTTTTTCCAGCTCCTAACTCTTCCCAAATGCCTTCACAGGGACTTAGATTACTGTGGAGTTGCCCGGGGCCTTGGTGAGTCCAATACAGAGGAAGCTCTGGCTGGGGAGCTTTAGAGACTTGCTCAAGGTGAGGGGTAGGGTTGGGACAGAGCATGGCCGAAGGTCATGGCCCTCAGTCTAGAGTTCTTTCTGCTCCCACAGACCATGTCCCATGAGGTGCTAGGGTTCCATGGAAGGGTCGAGGAGGTGAGGGGAGATGAAGGAGCTAGGGTTCAGCCACCCCCTTGGTACTTCCTGCCCAGCCAGCTCTCCTTGGGTCTGTCTGCCCTACTGCCTAAGGGGGGGGGGGGGGTGACAACCACTATTCTGCCTCCCCTGCCTTTTCCCTGAGAATTCCTCCTCTTGCTCATTTCCTCCAACAGCCCAAGAAGCCTCCCCAACAGCATCTTTTCACTTTGCTGATGAACATGCACCCGGCAGGGAGCTAGACGCCATCTGACATTCACACTTAATTTCATGCTTCCCCTCAAATAGCTCTGTGTTCTTCTCCACTCCCCAGCCGTCCTCTGAAGCAGGGAAAGCAAGGATTATTAACTGATTATTCACTTCTCTGGAAAGGAGGAAGCAGACACAGGAAAGTCCAGTGTGGGCTTGACAGGCCACCCAGGGATGGACTAGCATTCTCACCAAGA